CTGAAATTCCTTTTTTCTGACATAACCATTTCTGCCAATTTAGTTCACTGGCATTTTATTTCACTGCTAGCAACTTTTATTTCACCAAAAAGTAATTTCAATTATTGCTGTTAGGGTTAGTTTAAAATTTAAATTAAGTTTAGCGCAATTATAAGTATTAGACAAAATAGGATAGTTATAATTATATAATTGTTACAGTATTTAATAAGAAAAATAAAATAAATTAATTAATAAATAATATTATATAAATATATAGTTATTATTGTGTAATTATTATGTAATTATTTTGTATTTTTTATTTGCAAATAAATTTCGCATTTTTTCATATTTTTTCGAAATTTTTCACAATAAACGAAATTTTTTCAAAATATTTTGCTATGCAAATTTTTTTGAAAATTTTTGTTTATATTTTTTGCTGATGTAATACAAACTTATTTTTAAAAAAACTTGCAGAAATTACATTAGAAATCAATCATTTTGAAAACTATTTAAATTTGTAGAGCGAAATTGGTGATTATGAATTAGGACTTCATAATTTTTAACATGCTAGCCAGGCTCTCGCTGATTTATAAAGAAGAGACCCAATTTATAAAAAACCTGTATTTGTTGAGTATATCGATAAAGAAAGCAATCTATATGATGAAGTTGAATTCACAATACTAGAAAAAAACAAATATACCAAGTTTAAAGAAGGATAGTTTATCTGTACCTTGATTATAGATAGAGTCTCACTGTCAAATTTGTAGATACTCTCTTGATATTAAAAATTGCGATGATTTGTTATATTGTACTCCAAAACAGGCTAGTGATACTGTTGTATTTCTAGATAAAAATAATGGTTTTTTTTACTTCCAGTGATTAAAGAAAGAGATGACTATTATCTTAATGCTATGCACACACTTCAATACTTCAATAATCTAAAAATTTCTGTATATGATACACATCTTCCTTCTCTTTCCTCTGATGATCACTCAAGACGATGTTGTAAATTATGTGGTAAATACTTCTCTATAATAGTCATGCTTGCAAAATACAAAAAAGCTATTCATTTCAGTACACAAACTCGACGTTTAGAACAGTGATCCCAAACCAATTTAGCAATTTTTGATGATTTTTCTCTGTTATTCTCATTGTTTGAATCTTGGCCACGGGTTGTAATCGTGCTATCTCAATCCTTTTCTAATATTGAGTAGGTATTTTAAATACAAAAATTAGTAAATTATTAAAGCAAATAACTCAAATAATAAACTGATTATAAAAATAAGCTTTATATATAAAATATATAAAATCTTATGTCAAATAAAATATGTAAAGGTTAGAAATTCGTATGATTTTTAATGCTGATTTCATAAGAAGGGTATAGTATAATGATCAGATTACATACATACTAGAGGGGTATAGAATAATAATTAAGTTATACATATATTAGAGGGGATATAGGATAATAATTAGGTTACATACATACTAAAGAGGGTATAGAATAATAATCAGATTATATACATACTAGAGGGTATAAAATAATGATCAGGTTACATATATACTAGAGAGGATATAAGATAATGATCAGAATATATATATACTAGAGGAGGTATAGGTTAATGATCAGCTTATAGAAAATGATCACGCTAGAGGAGATATAGTATAATGATCAGGTCTAGAGAGTATAGAATAAAGATCAGATTACACACATACTACGCACTTGCTATTTACCAATTAAATCAACCAAAAAATAAATTACAGTATAAGTTACATAGTAAGTGTCGTTTAAAACTTTTTAGATCAAATAGAAAAGGCAGTTTACTTATACATAAAAACCAGAAAAAAATGATTTTTTTGTTAGTTAAGTTAAACTAAAAACTTAATAACTCTCACGATTATTTAAATGTCCTATTTTTTATTTTAACATAATCTTAAAACTGAGAAATTTTGTTTAAAAAATACAAAATATATGGATTATGCAAAGCTATACTATAGAGTAAAGTAACTGGAAATGTTTTTAGCTTAAACTATTTTGTTATGCTAGATTCAAATATACTTTATCACTAACTATTTAGTTTTAATAAGTATAAGTTTTTAGTAACAAAAGATCTAGATTTATGTTTCGATTTGGTCAGATTTTGTAATGTGTTAGTTTTAGTAATGCAATAGAATCACTTCAATAATAGCTGTAGCTTGCTAATTAACTAAATACTGTTCACACAGATTTTTAGTATCAATATATGATATATCTGTCAAGTAGTTATCTAAGTAT